CTGACACATAAAACATTAAACACAAGTGCTAATTCAAATAAAGTACACTGTCATTCAAATGTTTGGAGATGGTAAGATTTTTTTATGTTTTTGAGAGAAGTATCTTATGCTCACCAAGGCTGCATTTATTTGATCAAAACTACAGTAATATTCAGAAATATTGTTACAATGTAAAATAACTGTTTTCTATTTAAATATATTTAACAATGTAATTTACTCCTGTGATGCAAAGCTGAATGCTCAGCAGTCATTACTCCAGTCTTCAGTGTCACATGATCCTTCAGAAATCATTCTACTATCCTGATTTGGTAATCAGGAAATGATTATCATTATTATCATTTTCAATGCTGAAAACAGATGTTTTCAAAAGAACGACATTTATTTAAGCATTTATTTGAAATAGAAATCTTTTGTAACATTATAAATGTCTTCACTATCAGTTTTGATCAATTTAATGCATCCTTGCTGAATAAAAGTATTATTTTTAAGTGTGTACATACAGTGAATGTACAGTATAGAACAGCACAGGACTGTGACAGTACATTAAAAGTTAAATGTAAAAAGAAAATACTATAGTTAACAGCATGGTGAACAATCAACAATCAGTAACATGATGGTTCAGGATGAGACTGAGGTTGAAAAGTTCAAATTAAGGTTATGAAGGAGGTTTTTATGTTGAGGTTAAGGGGGAGGCTGGTTTTGTGGCTGTGGTTAGTTAGGAAGGAAGCACAGGTTAAGTGCAAGACTGATTTTAGCCTTAAGTTTGAAGTTGGACTGAGAATAAGCTTTGTTGGTTTGAGGTTGAAGTTGGGATTCAGTCTTAAGTTAAAGGAATGTTCTTGGTTCAATATAAGTTAAGTTCTGTCAGCTGCATTTATGTCAGTTACCATAGGAAATAATTTTGTCCTTTTGCTTTTGAAGTAAACCATGTGATAAACATTAACTTTAAAATAACATTGAAAAGTATCCAAAAGCATTCATTAGTATATTTATTATATCCGACCCCTTACCAACACAGAAACCTGTCAACTTCCACTTTTAAAGTAAAACATGATTTATGAGCCTTTCAAACTGCAAGAAACACTTCAAATGTCCTCAAAAGTTAGACAGGTTTCACTATATTTATGAGATGTCCTTCACAAGTACAGCCAGTCCTGTACTCTCTCTCTCTCTCTCTCTCTCTCTCTCACACGCACACACACACACACACACTCATCTGGTCCATCTGCTAATTTAAGATGATTGACCTGGTAATCCAGGTGACATTTCAATAAAATAGAGAAGAACGTGAACCTATTTAAAAAAAAAAAAAGGTTTCAAAAGTGGTGAATTCATCACCTAGATAAAAATCATTTTTCCTCAACTACTATTTTTTACTCAGCTGCATTCACAGAAGCCCTACTGCTCACATTCTGGACACAGAATTCTAGTAGCGAACCATATTTTAGCAAATACATTATTTAAAGTCACACCCCTCACACATTTTCCTGGTATGACACAAACATCCACATGAAAAACATTTCATGGAAAGCAATATCAAAATACTGGCTAATACTGAGAAAGGTGATTGATCTGGCATTTTTCTATCTACACTCATTATAGATGCCCACTGCCCACATAACAAATTAATGCAAAATACAAATATAAATAGCTTTAAACTATCTTCATTGTAACTGCCTAGCAAGTAAACAGCAAAAACACATGAGCAGCGATTGTGTGAAAAGCAGGACTAAGAGAATAAACTGGAGTTAGAGGTGTTTACAGTGGCTCAGTGGGGTGACCGAGGTCAATTCCAAGCCTACACACCTGTTTCCATCTGCATATACAGAAACAGAAAGAAATAACAAGTGAGCTACATGTTTGACATAACATGTCACATTGAGATTTCTTGAGTACAATTTGATTGTCATAACTTAAGATGAGTCTATGTTCTGATCATCTGTCTTCACTAAATTACTTTTCATATCATCAGTGTTCAGTCTAACCGCATATCAAGCATGATGACATAAAGGTCAATCTTACCAAAACCAACTCTACACACACACAGAGATCTGTCAAACATGCTTCCACAAAACTGGATGTCCATGTACAAACCATGAACACACACACAAACGCACACGCACACACACACACACACACACACACACACACACACACACACAAACATCCTTAACCCCCATCCGCTGGCTGGGCCGGACTCATCTGAGTCGTTGCCATGGTGACGGACCTGGAGAGCAGGCATCACCTTAGATACCTCAAACAGATAATCTCAACTAAACATATGCACACACAAACACACACAACCTTGACCAGGTAAGACATCCACACACACACATACACAAAATAGCGTACAGTACTGAATATAAGCACAAGTGAACCTGCAATTAGAGGTCAGTTTCAGATGTTTAAATAGAGAACAGACAAAGCCCAACAGAAGTCTTACTTTCACTCCAGATTTATCACAAATGTTAGAGTGTGATAACGACCTGAAAATTTTGGTGAATCATTCCAGATCATATTTCGAAGAAATTTACATATAGAAAATGGTGTTAATTGAGTCTGTTTACATTTTTTTATACATTTTGTTAATCAGGATAAATGACTTATGACAAATACAACTTTGCTTTATAAATGTATTTCTATATTTTTAATAATTATTGAAATTATAAAATATATACGTAATATATTTATAATATATAATACAGACACTCTAATACACATTCTAAATACACTGTATTTAGAATTTGAATAATATCAATATATTATATACTATACCACTATTCAGAACTGTGAGGTTGGTAAGTTTTTGTGCTCACCAAGACTGTATTTATTTGATAAAAATACAGTAAAATTATCGTGAATTATTATTGCTATTTTTATTGATATTATAGTAATGGTATGTATAGTAATACATAGACATTTTTTATAATTATTATTACAACATTACAATAACGGTTTTATATTTTAATATATTTATACATAATCCTGCAGAAATCATTCTAATATGCTGATTTGACGCTCAAGAAACGCTTATTATTATTATCCATGTTGAAAACAGCTGTGCTGCTTAATATTTTAGTGGAAACCGTACTGTTCTTCTTCTTCTCAGGATTCTTTGATGAATAGAACAACATTTATTTGAAATAGAAATATTTTGTAACATTGTAAATATTTTTATTTCTTTCAAAAAAAAAATAAAATAATTCAAGCCTGACAAGAAAAAACTCCCTCTCATTAACTTTTCAAAAATGCTCATAAAAGATTCACGTTTATGTCTATACATTTCAATATGGACATAAGAAAGACAAACAACCTGGAATGACACCATTCACAAAACCAAATCCAAATCTGTAATACCAACAGAGACTATACAAAAGAACAGGATTATGCCAGATTATGTCTGGATGATATAATCAGGTAAGACATCCACACACACACATACACAAAATAGCGTACAGTACTGAATATAAGCACAAGTGAACCTGCAATTAGAGGTCAGTTTCAGATGTTTAAATAGAGAACAGACAAAGCCCAACAGAAGTCTTACTTTCACTCCAGATTTATCACAAATGTTAGAGTGTGATAACGACCTGAAAATTTTGGTGAATCATTCCAGATCATATTTCGAAGAAATTTACATATAGAAAATGGTGTTAATTGAGTCTGTTTACATTTTTTTATACATTTTGTTAATCAGGATAAATGACTTATGACAAATACAACTTTGCTTTATAAATGTATTTCTATATTTTTAATAATTATTGAAATTATAAAATATATACGTAATATATTTATAATATATAATACAGACACTCTAATACACATTCTAAATACACTGTATTTAGAATTTGAATAATATCAATATATTATATACTATACCACTATTCAGAACTGTGAGGTTGGTAAGTTTTTGTGCTCACCAAGACTGTATTTATTTGATAAAAATACAGTAAAATTATCGTGAATTATTATTGCTATTTTTATTGATATTATAGTAATGGTATGTATAGTAATACATAGACATTTTTTATAATTATTATTACAACATTACAATAACGGTTTTATATTTTAATATATTTATACATAATCCTGCAGAAATCATTCTAATATGCTGATTTGACGCTCAAGAAACGCTTATTATTATTATCCATGTTGAAAACAGCTGTGCTGCTTAATATTTTAGTGGAAACCGTACTGTTCTTCTTCTTCTCAGGATTCTTTGATGAATAGAACAACATTTATTTGAAATAGAAATATTTTGTAACATTGTAAATATTTTTATTTCTTTCAAAAAAAAAATAAAATAATTCAAGCCTGACAAGAAAAAACTCCCTCTCATTAACTTTTCAAAAATGCTCATAAAAGATTCACGTTTATGTCTATACATTTCAATATGGACATAAGAAAGACAAACAACCTGGAATGACACCATTCACAAAACCAAATCCAAATCTGTAATACCAACAGAGACTATACAAAAGAACAGGATTATGCCAGATTATGTCTGGATGATATAATTGTGAATAATCTTGCCAGTGATCCTTTTCAGGAAATAGGATTAGACTTCAGAAAATTGACAGAGAAATGAGAAAGAGAGGAAAGGGAGAAAGGCAGAAACCAGAGAGCAAGGAAAAAGGGTGAGATGTAAAAGTAAAAGAGGTATGAAAGGTATAGTTTGATATGAGGTTCATCCATTAAACCTAAATGTTCTGTTTCATGACAGGTATGATGTTGAATAAAAAGAAAACAGGAAGAAAACACAGTCAATGCATTTTTTAGTAAGTATTTTCATCTTTTTTTCTTTTGGGTAAATTTGTGTCACTGTGACAGTTTTGTGCATATATGTGTGCTTGGATGGATGGATGTGTGTGTGCGCGTGTTTTTGAATTAGGTGTGTTTGCTAGGAAGGAGTGGCGGATTAAGGGATTATGGTGAGTCTGATCATGTGATTGTCATGGTCTGTGGTGACCCTACTTACTAACAGATTACCCTGGTGAAGGTGAGGTAGCCTCCTTTCCTTTCTATTTCCTCCTTCTGTCACTTCATCCATCTTTTTGTCAGGACAGCCTGTCATCTCATCCCTCATGGTTGGGCTGAAGTCTCTACCTTCCGTGGCTTTCTTTACCGAGCCTGGAGACCTGAACACACGAACCTGCACAGAAACGCTCATTTCTTATTATTCCCCATTCAGAGGAGTCCTCATCATCTTGACCTTTCCTTCTGGATTCTTTGACCTGGAGATCCAGGCACACACACCTGATCTGCCAATGCAGAGGTGAGTAACACAATCCAGCACTCCGATCCCATCTCCTCAAGCACCTGAGGAGGGAAACCAAACTATCAGTTAAGCATCTGTGTTTTGCTCCAAATGTTAGATAAATGAGATGGAAATTGGCATTATAAAAGCTAAGTCGATTCCCAGCCGCTTCCTTGAAAGCAGGAACTGGCCTAAAACTATCACACCCAACAACAAAAGCTTACTTTGACATAGCCCAGTTTAACCAGATGAAAAACAACACAACTTCTAAATGTGTGAGAATGATAACATAGCTTTCAGGTCCTACAGTTTCAATCTCAGAGAGCCTATTCAGAGAAAGGCACTCATTTTACTTTGCATTCAGCTCATTACACATATATAACTGTATGTGTCACGGCTATTATCTGGCATGGTTTGAATGGCCGAAATCACTTCAGAGTTAGCCCTCCAGCGTAAAATGGGTTCATGTTACATTTAGCAATGAATGTAGAGCCACACATTTGTCCACCCAAAAACACAGGCCTACAACAGTTATTGTTAAACCCCGTAATAAATTAATAATACCGAATAAGTACAGCTTATTGAAGAAGAAATATCTGTACTAATTGTGGTATAAACTATGGTTAGCATAGTTTCCATGTACATGGTTTCCTTTTTCCATGCTGAAAAGGATGGTTTACATTTTAGACTATTTTAGGATGCTTGCAGCAGTGGACTGTGTTTTCAAGGAATACACGAACAGAACAGCTGCTAAACTTCTTTAACCATTAAAAAATAGTAACTACCGAATAACGAACTGGAAATTAGTATGTTGCTGCAGTATTTTTTCAAAGTACATCGGTAAAGAGTTCGATAAATATGTTGCATCAGTTTCATGCGACGCAGGTGTTGCTTGGCCCTCTGGCGCCTTCTGTTGAAAAGCTAGTGAACTGCAGACTTGTATTAGTACAATTTAAAGAGGGTTTATCGCTGAATTTGGGCAGCACTAATTAATCCTGTTAGCAATTAATTATCCTAAAGTGTCTCCCTTTGTTTCCTTTGACGTAGCGTCGCAGCTCTGTTTTTTCAATTGGTAAACAGGGTCTTGTGATCACGCTTTTCTTTCAGACTTCACACTTTTATTTGGTAGCCTATTATTAGCCTATTATTACTGTCAATGTCTGACACAAAAAGCTGTTGAAAATTGCGCCAAGAAAAATAAAGAAATATATCTAAATTATATAAAAAATAATATATAAAATATTCTTAGGAAATATATACACATTCACATGAATTGGCCTTTTGTGTCAACATGCTTATCACAAGAAAGCAGTTCAACATTTTGGATTAAAATCTATACCTTCAATTATAATTAATGAGATATAGATTTTGTGATAGCTAGCCCTGAGCTCCCCAAAACTTTAAGAGTGTGGGATGGAATATTTCTGTCTACAAGTTGTCCTGAATTTCAATTGTTTGACCTGGAAGCTTCTTGTTTATTTAAAATTCATAAAACAATGTGCAACTGAAGTCATTGTTGAATTGCTCCACGTTTCATTATGGACACAAACACGCCAAAATAGAAATCCTCCTAACAAAATAATAATTTCCCTATAAAATAAGGAAATAAATACCTTACCAAAGATGTCTGTCTTTATCTCCAGACATTATCCCTCTCCAAGGAGGCTTTTGTGCGAGTTTTGGGGTGAGGGGCCCTGAAACCTCTCGCTCAGCTCTATGGCTGGAAGAAAACACACGTCCGTCCTCCTCTCCCTTTCTCTTCTATTCCTCTTCCTCGGTCTCTTCACTCGTCCATGTGTCTGCGGTCCTGCCCGGGCCCCTCTTCTCGCTGGCCAGCCTTTCCTGGTGTTATGGGGGGTTCCAGATAAAGACTGTTTGGGTCGGCCTGACCCAGCTGCATTTGGGATGGAGTGGGAAGGCCGTGTGGCAATATTTTATGAGGACACAGGACTTTACCCATATTTCACTGCACAGGATCGTCCTGTCAACGGTGGCCTACCACAACACACCAGCCTTGACCTTCACCTCCAGAGGGTGGAGGGCGACCTGACGGCCTCATTACCCCAAGCAGGAGCACCTGGTTTAGGGGTGCTGCGCTGGCAGGAGTGGATGCCTCAGTGGAACAGGAACAGGGGAATTAAAACAAAGTATATTGTGGAGTCGAGGGCACTTCTCCGGAGATTTTTTCCAGACTGGAGCACAGAGGAAGTGGAGAAATGGTCACAGGTGATGACAATCACAACATATTATGATATTTCTGAGACTATCATTCTGCATTATGTTGTATAAATCGATCATATGATTTAATTTCCTGTCAGGTTGACTTTGAAGCAGCAGCACAGTCCATTATGATGGAAACCCTGCGGGAGGTGAAGAGACTCCGCCCACAAAGATTATGGGGCATGGCCCCATTTCCTAACTGCTATAACTTTGACTCCACCCAGATAGCACTAGCCAATTACACGGGACGGTGCCCTGCGGCAGAGATGGCCATTAATGATGAGCTGATGTGGCTGTGGAAGCGAAGCGGTGCCCTCTATCCAGCACTCTCACTGGAGAAGCTGCCAGAGGGCACTAAAGGGACGTGGCTTTACGCAACCAATCAGATCAGAGAGTCTTTACGAGTGGCGGCTCTTGCAGGGACTACCTTTGATCTTCCTGTGTTTCCACTGATCAAGATTGTGTACATCTCTTCTAACTCCTTTCTCTCAGAGGTAATGAATAGTAAGCTGTAATCTATTGAGTGAGCCAATATAATATAGAAGAAATAATATATAATATAATAATATCTGTGTACCTTATAAGGACTTTGTTGTCACTCAGTACAACCTCATATGTCTGTATTGAATATGTATCAGATTGATCTGGTGAACACAATTGGAGAGAGTGCTGCTATGGGAGCATCTGGAGTCATAATATGGGAAAAATCCTTAGCAGTTAAAACACAGGTAATCATTCAATCATTTGTCCACTAACGTTCAAAAGTTTGAGGTCATTAATCATTTCTGAACACTTTTATTCAGCAAGGGTGCATTAAATTGGTCAAAGTTGACAATGAAGATATTTATAACATTACAAAAGATTTCCATTCGAACTTTCTAAAAGTTCATCAAAGAATCATTAAAAAAATTAAGTTACCCTCAAAAATATTGAGCAGCACAACTGTTTTCCACAGTGATAATAATAATAAATGTTTCTTGGGCACTGTATCAGCATATAATTTCTGAAATAGCATGTGACTCTGAAGAATGGAGTAATGGCTGCTTAAAATTAAGCTTTGCCATCACAAGAATTAACCACATTTTGAAATACATTCAAATAGAAAACAAGTATTTTAAATTGTAACAACATTTCACAACACTACTGTTTTTACTGTAGTTCTGATTTTAAAAAATGCTCCCTTCACTCTTAAAAATAAAGGTGCTTCAAAAGGTTCTTCCGTTTTTGGTTCCACAAAGAGCCATTCAGTCAAAGGTTTTTTAAAGAACCATCTCTTTCTTACCTTTTTATAATCTGAAGAACCTTCTTTTGCCACAAAGAGCCTTTTGTGAAACAGAAAGGTTCTGCAGATGTTAAAGGTTCATGGAACCATTTAGACAAAAAGGTTCTTCTATGGCATCGTGAAGCACCTTTATTTTTAAGAGTGTTGCTGAGCGTAAGAGCCAGAAACAACTTGCGTGTATTATACATGCATACCTCTCCAGTCCACCTTCTAGTTTATTCATTATAATACTTTTCATTAGTCATTAGAGATTCCTGTAAGACTGATATTATTTAAACCTGCATGTGTGTCTCCTACAGAAATCCTGTTCAGAGTTCGGCTCGTATGTTCGTCAGGTTCTTGGCCCATATGCTGTCAATGTGACGACTGCAGCACGTCTCTGTGGAGTCTCATTGTGTCAGGGCCGTGGACGCTGTGTGCGTAAGAAACCTGAGGACCCCACATTCCTGCATCTTCCTTCAGCCCACTTCATGCTTCTCCCAAACGGGGCAGAAGGTGTCCGGGCCACAGGAGAGCTTCCCACTGCTTACATAGACCTCTGGAACAAGGACTTCCGCTTCCTCTTCCGCTTGACGAGAAGAGAGCTGGAGTGTGAACTTTTGTGAACCTCTGTTGGCCTTGACTTTGATTGCTAATTGCAAAAAGAATTTTAATATAAATGCCCAAAGGAATAACTCTGTTGAGGATAGCTTCTGTGAAAGACAATCTCAAAGATGGATTTAAATTCACAATCTGAACATGACTGAATAAACAGATCTGTACTGAATCACACTTGAATATGAACTACAAAACTTGTTTTAGATAAAGTTTTTTAAAGGGATAGTGCCATCATTGACCCTCCACTTGTTCCAAACCTCTATGAGTTTGTTCTGTTGAACACAAAAGAAGATATTTTGAAGAACGGTAGCCACCGACTTCCAAAGTATGAAAAAGAAAACTCTGGAAGTCAATAGCTACCATCAACATAAAGGTTTGGAACAAGTGAAGGATGAGTACATTTTTTTTTTTTTGGATGAACTGTCCATTTAATCTACATACAAAATGACTTTGTCATTAACTACCTTACTGTACTATATTACAATAATAGACCCAGTCCACACAGACTAACTATGTGCTGAATAAATGTTTATACAAATAAATAAAATTATTTTGTTTCTGCAAAAATTATTGTGATTGGAGTTAATACTATACCTTTCTTTTTCCATCATGAAAACAGATTATTTTACAAATATGTATGCATTTATTTTGTAGTAAGATCTTTTTTATTTTTTCAAGAAATTGATACTTACTGTATATTCAGCAAAGATGATCAAACATTGATCAAAATGTTACATTGTTACCAAAGTATTTTTCAAATAAATGCTGTTCTTTTGAACTTTATATTCATCAAAGAATCCTGAAAAAATGTATTATGGTTTCCACAAAATTATTAAGCAGCACAACTGCTTTCAAAATGGAAAAAAAAATAGGAAATGTTCTGTATATACAGCGTCAAACCTGCGTAAGACTTGTGACAGGACAGCGATAGCACAATCATAAAATGTCCTGAAAGCAGCTGGGCTGGGGTGTAACAGGCCTCTATCTGTCTAAACTAAAATCTAATCAAATGTTTAGTCTCCAATTTATCTTTTACATTTAAGAAAAAAAGAGAAAAAGAAATCAGCCAAATGTACGCTTTATCTGAACAGCCTGTCCCAAACAAAGCCATCCTCCATAATGAAAATGTAAAGCCTTTCCAAACATTGAGTGACAGATATAAATGACTACTAGGCAAATCTGCTAGTTTGTTAAATTAACAAATACCAACTAGGAGAAGAATAACAACTACAATGTCCAAATAATAAATGTGTGCATCTACGTGTTTACGTATCTCTGAATTCATCAGAGATTATAAGGGGTGACAGAGCAAAACCTTTTATCCGCCAGTATAAATTAATCCAGGGCCATATGAGGACACAAACTCTCTCTCTCACTCACACATACACACAAACAATATGCTCTATCCCTGATAATTTCAGCCTGATTAATAGTGCAGATCAGGATGCAGCTATAACTGAGCTCAGCAAAAGGAAAAGACTCTCAAAAGAAAACAACTGTATGTCAAAAAGCAATGAACATTTTTCACCTTAAAATGTAGTGAGAAGACTCACAAAAATCAAGTCTCATTCTAGCAAATTTATTTTGGTTTATATAATAATTTAAAATATACATTGATGACAGATTGTTGGACAAATCAGGGTTATAGTTAGCAAGACAGCGATAAAGAGAGAGACGGTTCAAACAGGAACAGACAGAGAAAGGTAAAGATCATTTGCAAAAATAAACTTTCATCCATCCTGTATTTTTTTTTTCACAACCACCTCCAATCTCTCCTCACCTTCCTCTGATTTGTGGGGGTTTTCCTGTGATAATCACTTGCAGACAACAAAACAGTTAAACAAATAACAGGACATTTGTCATTACTCTCAATACGGTAATCAAGAGTCCAATATTTGTAGGTGGGCGTTTCCGGTGCTTGTGTTAAGAATAGTTTTTAAAAAGTTTTTAATTTTCCAAAAAATTACACTTCTGACATTATTTACTCACCCTCATGGCGTTCCAAACCTGTATGACTTTCTTTCCTCTGAAGAACACAAAAGAAGATATTTTGAAGAATGTCCTGGCCACTCTTTTCCATGCAATTAATGAATGGAGACTGAAGCTTTCATCATAACAGTAGTTCATATGATGTGTGCACAACTCTTCCAAAGTCATGCGATATCTTTGTGTGAGAAACAGATTGAAAAGTAAGTTGTTACTCATGATTTATGGTGAGCAGTCTTCAAAAATTCTCCTTTGGCACGCCATGGAAGAAAAAGTCATACAGGTTTCAAACAACAAGAAGGTGAGTAAATGATATCAGAATTTAGTTTCAGGTGAGCTAACTGATCTGGGATGCATAGCATCCATCCTGCAGAAACACAGACGTCCGGGAGGAACAAGTATACACAGAGCATGGCTTCCATACTGACGAATATTGGTGTTAAACTTCTACTCTATGTCTTCAATTTGAGGCATTTAACACGCAATCTGTCAATATACCCACCGATAGTTCCATACACACACACTGACTTCATAAACAGGGGCAATGGTAACACCAATCAGCTGCCCAAAAGCCACCAACAACAGAGAGTGCTTCCTGTGGATGTTGGACGGCATGAATCACAGGGAGGAGTCTATTTTGCCGTGCGAACATTCTAGAGGGGAGGAGCCACGACAAAAGGAGGTGGTTAAAAATGTGGCCTCCAAACGGGAAGGGTGAGAAACAAGCTGTCTCTAAGGGGACGAGCACTTGCAGAGCATTGCTAGTAAACATTATAATTAGCAAAATGGTTCCATTGCACGGTGTGTAGCAGAATGACTGCAGAAGGCGGAGCCACTGCTTTTCTCCAAGTGGTGGAGTCCCCACTCAGGCAGGGGGTTTTGTTTGCTGCCATAGTTACTTGCAGATGGTTTCTAGGGCATCAAGGGTTCGTTTGATGTCTCTGATCTGAGCAGCTAGAGCATGTATAGGTTGCATGGACCGATCTAGCTCCTCACAGCGCGCCATGAGCGTGTACATTCCCTGGAAACACATACACAAGCACACACAGATCAAAACACAAAATAAAATTAAAATTATCGCCTGACCTGATAAATACAAGTCACTCTCACCTTTATACTCATGTCCACTGACTCTCCCAAACTGTCCACAGAATCTCTGTAGGTCTGGATATAACCCACACTTAAAGCAGTCATCTGGAGAGACACAAGATTTTAATTCATATTCAAAGCAATATGTGCATAAATGCATAAGTGAGTTAAAATGAGGGTTGCATACATAAAAAGTGACGGACAGTGAAAAAGCTATCAAGTTTTAAAACTCTTAAAAAAAGTTTCTTCCTATAACAAAATAAAGAAAACAATTTATATTAAATTCAATTATATATACTACTGTTCAAAGGTTTGGGGTCAGACAGATTTTTTTTTTTTTTTGAAAGAATTTAATTCTTTCAGCACAGACACATGAAATGGGTGAAAAGTGACAGTAAAGACATTTATAATGGTATAAAATATTTATTTTTCAGATAAATGCTGTTCAAACCTGAAAAATATATAATGATTTCCACAAACATATTAAGAAGCATGACTGTTTTCAACATGAATACTAAAAAATGTTTCATATTAAATGTTTCATATTAGCACATTAGAACGATTAGAATGAAGACTGGAGTAATGACTGCTGAAAATTCAGCTTTGCCATCACAGGAACAATAAATGCCTCAGAACTGGCTTTTTTGTAGTAGAAGTCTGAAACAGTATGCAAATTGGCCAGGAACCAGCACCAGCATAACATCAGTGGAAAAAGGTGAAGTGTGAAGTTGAGGGGAATTGACTTTATATAGCCAATAAAAATTACCTTGAGACCATGTGGCTAAAAACTAGTTCAAAAATGGCTAAGAATTAATTCTAAAAAAAAAGGAACAGCACAATTTATTTGCAGGCTGGTTTCGGTTTCGGTATTTTCAAATGTGGATTAAGTGTCTAAATATTTTTTGGCTGGCTGTATATGATCCAGGGTAATACTCACATTCTGTATAGTTCCATTGAGGCTTCGCAGCATCAGTTCTACACTCTGAGCCACATCCTGTGTGTGTTTGTGCAGGTCTGCCAGAACTGACGGGTCAATGGGCGGAATATCAGCCGGCCGACGCAAAGAGCCACGACCACGTACCACAGGCCCAGAACAGTCCGCTGAAGTAGCCACACACAGATCAAATATTACTGGTATATTACATAACAAATTATAAACAATTTTTTGACACCCTTAGATACTCACAATCTGTGTCCAGACTCGGCCGCGAGCTCATTTTAATCTTCTGTTCAAGATTTTTGGTGATGAAGTGTGTGAGATCTCCATCATGGCTGACGGTTCCCTCCAATTCGAGGGCGCTGGATATGGTAGCTCTGCGTCCTTCTACCTGTCCGCCTCTAGCCCCGCCTCCTCGTGCCCCGACCCCACACGCCCCACTGATCTCATCCAGGCTCTTACTGTCCTGCATGCCACGCACGACTCGATCTCGCTCTGGCACTGACCGTACACGCACCTCCGCCATCACGTGAGCCGGGCACGGAGAATCGTCCAGGTCCGACAGCAGAGGGGGTGTGGCCTGGTCGGGAGGAGGGGCTGGAACAAGGGGAGGGGCCTCATCAGGAGAAATGGAAGCATTTGGCTGGACTTCATCCGAAGAATCAGGATTGGCCCATTCATCAGATTCTGAGCGAGTGGGAGGGTGTTCAGTTGAGAGCGTACCAACTGGCTGTAGTTCAAGTTCAAGACAGACATATTTGAGTTACACAAGTTGGACATAAAGTTAAATTATTTCACTATTAATTAATAAATTAAGTGAATTAAAAGTATTAATTTATTGGAAATATTGTTACAAACTTAAGCTTTAATATTTTATTATTTATTATTATTAACATGATGTTAATATTTGTTATATTAAATATAAATTAGTATTTAAAGTGAATACAAAAGCATACATTTGATTTAACTCCTTAAATGTAATTTATGGAGATTATTGTTATTACTATTATTATGTAATTTGTGGAAATTATTTTTTTATTTTTTATTATTATTATGTTAGTATTTATAATATTATATGTAATAATTTAATTAATTGTTATATATACACAAGTAATTATTATAATTTAATTAAATGGAGTACAAAAGCATAGATTAGATATAGCTCTTTAAATGTAATAATTTGTAGGACTTATTTAATTATTATTCATTATTTTATAATTATGATGTTAGTTATTAATTGTATTATTATTATTATTATGTTAGTAAGTTTAAATTTTTTTTTATTATTTTTTTTATTACGGTTGCAAAGGGGTGGAAAATTTCCACTAATTATCTGGAAACTTTCCAAATAAATCATGGAAAGTTTCCAAAAGTTCTGGAAAGTTTCCAGAAATTTTCCACCCCTTTGCAACCCTATTAATAATATTAAGATTTGATTACATTATACACTAGTATTTAATTGAATGAGTACCAGCGCACAGCTTTGATCTAACCCCTTACCTGTACAGAAATAAGAGTCTCCTTTTTTTGCTTGATCTCTCCCTTGTTGACACTGTTCACCTCTCCATCACTTGTCTTTCTCTCATCCTCCTCCCCCCTCCATTCTTCCAGTTCTTTTTTAGAGCGGCCGTGTATTAGCTCAGTCTCACAGGAGTGCGTGTCCTCGTGTGAGCCGTCTTCAGTTGGAATATGTGCACACTGGTTGTGTTGAACCAGTGACTCTGAGTGATCTGTGTGTGACTGGAGTGTGTGTTTGTCTCTACATGAGTCTATGTGGTGAAGTGTGTGTTTGAGAGTCTCAAAATCAGCCCCATCACTGAACATTAACCCCTGGGTGGTGAATCCATGAGGTCCTGACAAACTTGAGGCCTTGAGAGAGTCAGAAGTGTCCACACCATTGCTTGCTTCTTGCGCATCCTGACCGGTCACAGAAGAGCGGCTCATCCCTCCACCCGCTGCAACAAATCATCATCATCACCATTAGTGATGTAAAGCTAAAGTTAAATGTGATGCAAGACATAGGCCTACATTCTTATTAAAATTTGTACAAATGACAGTTTATTGACATATTTTTTGATCATTTATATTTTATACTTATTTTATAAGAATGATAATATTTACCAGATCATTCTTAATGGCATTGTATGGTAAATTCACCATACAAAGAGTGTGTAATTGTAATTATTTTGGAAACATTGCATATTATAAAAAACTTTTTATTATAAAAAAATCTATTTATTTCCATAGATGAAAGAAAAAAATAAAATATGGCACTGCTAATGATCTATAACAGCATCATGAAATGTTTTTTCTCAAACTACACAATGGGGAAAATAATATTAGGCAACATTGCATATCCAATCCATTTAAGACAGCATTATTTTAGTATCATTAAGATAATATTATAGTTTTTAGTTTTATTGTTACATTTTATGCTTTCCATACATTTTAAAGTTTTAGTAATATTGTTGTCATTTTTATTTTTTCAATATTATATTTTATTTCAGTTAACAATTAAAGCATCTTTATTTATTAAGGTTGTGCAATTAAACTCAAAACCTTATTTTTCACGAACGATCTTGAGTTTCACTTAACATATGTAATCACAGGCATTATGAAGTGCCTCGACCAGTTTCCTGAGTCTGTTTTGACAGCTGTCAGTTTACTCGTTGCTAATCAATTTATTGGGTTATTTACTTACTGACATAAGCAATGAAACCTAAAAAGATTTTATCTAGTGATGAAGTTTCTCTCTAATGACAGAGAAACTGAAATCACCAGCAACAATGATTTGCGGGTCTTAAAAATCATGACGCACAAACATCGATATTCTCACAAACATTCAGCATCACAACCTGACAAACCAGACGCAGATCAACCAAACAATAAATGTTAATAAACGGATCAAGGAAGCGACAGTGGTCACCTGACGTTAGCTTTACGATAAGCTTTAGCTGTAATGCAGGCCTCTGAATTCGCAGTTATTCTGCGAGATTTCAGCGAAAACCCGCAGCCTTTTGACTATTACTGCTTGAGTTTGGGTTGTTTTGTCATGTTTCAGATGCATGCAATGCAACGGGGGATTTGTGAAGTTAAATATTTACCTGCAGCTCTTCGCCCAGGATGAAGGTTGCCAACTGAGTCCGCACTAAATATTTGTCGTACTGAAACACAACGTTGACGTTATTGTTCCGCGTAACATTCAGAGATAAATCTCATGACATAAAAGACGTGCGTAAAATTGCATGTAAACGCATTTTGTGTTTTTATATACTCATACCTTAATGTAGTTTATCAGAGGGCTGAGTTATAGAATTAATAAATAATAAACCTATGGATAATTATTCATTTATATGCACAAAAAGAGATGTCTAGACAGCCTGTCCAGACAGACATAGTACACAGATTTCACCACAAGGGGCGGTAGACGCCGCGGATTGATTGAGCTACTGGCGCTGCTCTCTCCCACGTCCTGTGCAGTGGGCTGTGTGTATTTTTACCCAGCTCTCAATTTATAGGCTAGAATTAAAGGAATTGTCAACCACATCAGCAAAACTTAGGTCAGCTTTGACCCTGTCACAAAACCCTGACCATGACCACAACCTCTTAGATCCTGTTATTATCCAAAAAACCTCCCCCTGCAATAATGCCCTCTGAAGTAGAGCCAGAGTAATGCTGTGAGTCAGTCTTGACCTCTACTTACTCTCTCGACCTCTTTAGGGGACTGTAGTCCACATGAAACAACATTCACAAGTCAGTTTACATTAGTACTTTGATATATTTCTAAGTGAAACAATGTATTCAACTTGAAAACTGTAGGGCAAGACTTGATTATTATTCATCAGGAATTAATTGGATTGTAAAAAGTGGTTGTTCCATACTAGAATAAAGCAATTGTGAAGGACTACTTCCTAGCAGATGTCAGTATTTGCTTTTGAGGAGGCTTTTTTTTTTTTTACCAGGATGTGGAGTCAGAAGGTCAAGTTCACCTTACTATTATCTTGATGTAGTATCTCCATGTTAAATATCCTGTTATTTGCAATGACCTTTGACATTTACATTCATTTACAGCATTAACTATTGGCTTTTAGAAAGACTAAAACAGTAGACTAAAACATACCTAAATGACAACAGCTGAAAAGGAAATTCGTTTCAGAGGTAAAGAAAATTATTATACTTTGATAACCTTTTTTTCTTTCTTTCTTTTTTAAACTGTGCTATAATATATGCTGAATAATTGTGCTAAATAAGATCAAAAAAGTGTATTAAGACAGTTAATGTCTTCATTTCGTGTAAGTATTGAATAACATCAAGGCAGTCATCTTCCTTAACATAAAATAGTGCAATTTTTCTCACTTTCTTTCTGTTTCTCCTCCAATCTCTCCCCCTCACTTCGTTATTTGCATCACTGATCTCATTTACTCACATATAGGCTCTCCAAGTCTATTTGGTATTCAGTTCTGTGAGTGTTTTAAGGGGCAGCTGTATCCAAGGCAACCCGCCTAGTCAATTTCCCAGTGTCCTGTCATTTATAAGTAGGATGTAATATACACTAATGCGCTCATGGAATTCAAATGCTTGTCACACAGCAAGCAGTGGACAGAGAAAATTCCAGCACATGTTTGTGCATGTGAGAGTGTTTTTCTGTTTATATTATACAGACCAAAATACTAATGCAGTCATTTTTTTGGTATTTTCATTTTTCTCTAACACTAGCTTGCTCTATTCTTTTTCTTTTCTATCTGTTTTCTTTTTATTATATGATTTAAAAAAAAAAAACCTTGCTACGTGTACTGCATTAAGCTAACTGACACTTGTTATAGCACTTGCATATCATTGCTCTTTTGTTGATGTTGATGGAAGCCATTGTCCTCATTTGTAAGTCGCTTTGGATAAAAACGTCTGCTAAATGTCTAAATGTAAAATGTATGTAAATGTACTGTATACAGCAGCATACTGTATGCAAATGTTATTATTATTACAAAGTGGAATACGTTAAGTAGTGCAATGCTGAATTCTGTTCTTTTTCTCTCAATTTCATGAGAGTCTTCCAAAACACTTTATTCAAGGTTCAAAGTGCATTAATGAAAACCAGATTTACAGTTAAAGGTAAGACAAAATCACACAAGGTTCAAATTATTGAGGGCAGGATTTACCTCTTCATATGTAAAACATGAACATGAAACATCTATTCTACATTTTCTTAGTTTATTTTATGACTGTTAACAACATTCGAGTTTTGTTTGAGTCTCCTGGTGAACCGAGCTGCTCCAACATATACACACAGATCACTGCTTCTGTCTCTGTCATGTGGTTTGGGTCTGACCGCATTTGAATTTGCTCCTCTTCTCTCTCTGTTTGTACTGTACTTTAAAGCCTTTAAATCCTTTTTTCTTAATTTATCTTTTGGTTTTCCATCCTTCTGAATGGAGGCCTTTCAGGGCGGGTGCCAAACTTCTTGGCAGTCGTGCATCGTCCATGTGCAGAAGAAAGTAGCTGCCGTTTCAGTCCAGTAAAATAACACACCCTTTGTGCCTCCATCGATCCCCAGAGAAACACATCGTTCATCATCCTACAGGATCTGCTGCATTTTGGGACTTTTGCTTTTGTTAATTCATTTAAATAAATGTCTCGAAACCTTAAGGAGTGACGTCAGAGACAGAATTACACTCTATTTAAATACTAAAAAGAAAATAATAGCATGTACAATTTTTACACTTAAAATGCAAGACAATAAACGCAAAGCACAAAAACACAAGAAAATAAATACCATGAAAGATAAATAAGGCAATACATTTCAGTACAGATGAAAAAGTGCCATCAACACTGAAGTCTTTTTAAACAAAGAACATTTTAAGATGCTCCCTAACTTTGGAAGATGTGTCTTTTATTCAACAGAGGATAATTTGGGGACACTCCCTTGCCTTAAAAAATGTGTCAAATATGCTTAACACAGTCCTCAAATAATCAATTGGTTTTTAATATTAAAGTAAACACTTCTTCTTGACCACACCAATACCAGATCATTCTTAATTTGCTTGGTAACAATCCTTCATATGATTCAGATACTAGCTTTGTTCCAAAACTTGGTGAGCTGCCTCATTGCCTACATAGGCAGCATTCTACTTGTCACTGAACTCATTAAGAGATTTGACACTCTACAATTCTGAACAACACAAGTTTTCAGTTAGCATGTCATAGTATACATTAAATATTTGGTAAAATAATGTTTTTAATTACAATACTGTTAATAAGTTTGGGGTCAGTAAGAAGTAAGGTCTCATGCTGACCATGGCTGCATTTATTTGGTCAATAATACAGTAAAGTAAAATAACTGTTTTCTATTTTAATATATTTTATAAATGTAATTTAGTACTGTGATGGCAAAGCTGAATTTTCAGCAGCCATTACTCCAATCTTCAGCATCACATGATCCTTCGGAAATCATTCTAATATGCTGATTTGTTGCTCAAGGAACATTTATTATTAGTATCAATTATGGAAACAGTTGTGCTGATTTATACTTTTGTGGAAACAGTGCTACAATTTTTTGATGAATAGAGTTCAAAAGAACAGCATTTGTTTAAAATATAAATCTTTTGTAACAATGTCTTTACTGTCACTTTTGATCAATTTAATGCAAAAATCTTGCTGCACCCAAACTTTTGATCACTCTATATTGAAACACGTCTTTGAATGAATTTAATAAAATATAAGCTTATCAACATTTTTCTATAGTCATCCCCTATCTTGCATGTATTTTTTAAAACTTGCATGCAGGCAGTTCATTAGGTTTTGAAACAAAGCAAATGTCTGTTATTATGATGCTGTGTGTATATGTACTGTGTATATACTGTATATTGCATGTTTTGTTGTATTCTTTTGTTTTGAGCAGCTTTGTAAACACCTGTGATTTGGTCTATGCACTCCTCGGCAGCCTCTGTGCTGAACTCTGCATTCGGCTCCGGTTCTTCCGCCCCCTTCCTTTCTCCTTCTCTCCCGCTCCTCTGTGCCTGTGCCGGTCTGCTCTCTTTCTGTCCTGTTTGTTATGCTTGTGGTTCCCTGATTCCTTGTTGTTGTGACGCTGTCTGAATTCTTTGCAGTGTTGCTCCAGTTTGCCATGGTTGATCAATGCCATCACATCCTGGTACCATGGCTGGGAGGAGACAAGGGTGGGGTGCAGAGCGGGGCTCCACACAATTAAACGAACAGTAACGGCTGTCCAGCGAAATCCATGCTCTTCAAGCTGACAATGATAAATGCCGCCATGATTGAGCTCAGCCCTGGGAATGAGGATGCCCCTGTCAATGACAACCAGCTGCTCCCCAGATCTGACCTGGAAGACAGAAGGTTCAAAATTTGAGATAAATTTAGAGATATATCTCAATATTTGATCATGTTTTTAGTTCATGCATGAGTGTGCATGTACCTTATGTTGCTCCAAGCTGTTCTCGCCTATGTCTTTAAACCAGGTAACTGTGGCATGGTGAGATTTGGGTAGACACTCCAGGTAGGTGCTATTACCCAAGGCAACAACTTGTGTCTTCTCCTCTGCGTCCACCTGAAGACCAGCTGAATAACAATGAATAGAATAAGTCAAATGAAATTAATACATAAATTAAATGAAAGAATTAGGGCTTTAATAATTAATAATTTAATAATTAATAATTTAATAAAAATAATTTAGGGCTTTCAATTACATTTACCCAGATTTAGTGAGCAATGAATGAAATCATAAAAACATATAAATAAAAACAAAATTGACGGTGCTGTTCCAAAGCAGGATGTTTAGCAATAGTAAATGTCTGGTTGCCTGTGTCTCTTACCTCCCTGTCTGACACACTGGTTCAGCGGGTTGCCGTCATCGTTAACCTGACTAATGTTTCTTCTGCAGACAGGGAGGAATGTTTCAGATCAGATTTATTTCAGATATCCCAAATACCAATGCTTTCCGGTTTCAGTGTACAGGAAACTGCTGATGTAATGGATTCTATCAAACAAGCTGCCCATACAAGTGTGAGATGTGTGTCACCTGCGTGCAGTTGGCATGTAAGGGCTGCAAGAGTGGCCGTCCCAGGTGCAGTATGGGTCTCTAGCGAGACAGCATTCAGCGCAGGCTTGGCCGTACAAATCGCAGTGGAACAGACCCAACTGAACCACACCCTCTGCTGATCCAGCAAACAGCCACTGCTGGAAGCAGCACACACACACACACACACACACACACACACAGATACAATGATATGGGCTGTGATGCTGTTTATCGCTGTTTTTCAGCAAGCAGGAAAACTGGGCCAGAAACGCAAACATCTAAACCACATTCTCATATACAGCTCCAGAATTACAGAGCTCTTTCCATCCCAGATCTTCAGGTTTCTGCGAGTGTTTCATGGAACCAATGTGTGAAAACTCACAGTTTCATTTTAAATATCTTCCACCCTCTCACGTTGCCATGACGACAAGATGGGAAGGTTTTTAAAAGTGTGTCGGTGTATCTTACATGTATATGTTTGTGTATGTGTGCTTCCAGTGATGAACATGGTACCTTTTTCTTGGACAGCGTCATGGCAGTGATCGGTGACTTGTTCTGTTGAGTGACAGGAGATGAGCAGTTAATGCTTCAAGCTCAAAAGGTCATCCATATGAATCTGGAATGTTAAATCTGGAGAGATTTTACCTTAAAAACCTGCAGCTGTTCCAGAGTTATCTCCTGATTCTGTCCGCTGGCTTTAGGCAGGTGAATCGCTTTCAGAACCAGGCCAGAATCTGAATACACACATACAATACACACAATATTTACAAGCTAAATGGACAGATCTGTCAAAAATTCAGTAAACCTACAGTTTACTGCAGTAGTCATCACAAACACACACCTGTACCAATGAACAGCACGTCATATTTTCCATCCACCGCCTCCACTCTGTCCACAAGGAGGCGGGTCAGTTTATAAGGCACGCCCACTCTGATGAGCAAAGGATGACCTCCAAGAGGATGTACCACTTCCTGCATTAAAAGATGTGTGCGGCTAAAGAAGATGACCTCATCAGGATATTCCCTTGTTGATTTGTACCCTCCATATGTGCTGCTGGGACACTGAAGATTGACAGAAAACTCAGTATTATGGTCCAGAAATTGATTTTCACCTCATTGATTTTAGTTTTTAGTCTTTTCTTTTTATTATAATCAAAGAAATCGATTAGAATTTTAATAGTCCATAATCATAAAAAAAATCGTCTTATCGCATGGGAACACTCACTGTTCCAGGTCTAGGATAGGGAACTCTGCCTGTATATTCTGTCCACTTGTACTGTTGACCCTCCCTATGAAGGAAATTTCCTTTAAAAGCTCTAATAATGTCCTGCATGCGGTAAACGCACACAGCGGATCCATTCAAGACATTGCTGTTGGGAGAGGAAACAAACACACATAAAAATAGAAACATGAATTATTAATTGATTGAGAGATATACTGTAAGTAGACAGCATCAACTAGCAATCACAATGTATCAAAACAACAGAATTCATCTTATTCAGTTCACCTACATGCTTTTGACCAGACATAAATCCAATTAAAACCAAGCTCTGGTGGCACAAATGAAAGTGGCACTTCAGTTCAAGCGTAAAGCCAGTCGGCAGTAAGGCACCGACTCCTCGGTGAGGGTAAAATGTCACCTGATCTGAACTGAATTGAATCTGGGTCTGCTGGGAAAGTCTCTGAGAGATTTAACACACTCAGTGGAACTGCTCAGCAGAGAGCAATAATACTGTCACTCTTTCCATACAGCTTTTTCTATATCCATACTTCATTGTGGACTCCACCCTATGCAACCCTCTCCAAAACCTTAGGCAGACACACACACACCACACACACACACATTTTCAAAAAGATAGATGAAGGCATATGCTATTTGAGATCGCTGATGTAAAATTGGTTCAACTTCTAATGTGTTTTAAACATCATGGGTGCATCATTAATGTCATCTTAGGCCAGCTGGAAAGTATGACTCAGTAATACTGCAGTTTTATCCACACCCTTAACCACATACACACACAGGGCTGTCATGATGTGCACGTTGATCTTTTCCATACAATTAAAGTGAAGGGTGACCAGGGGCTGTCAAGCTCCAAAAACGAAAAAACAGCATCATAAAAGTACCACTACAGTAGTAACTTGACTTCTGAAGCCATACAATTATTCTTTGAGCAGAACAGACTGAAATGTAAGTTGTTGTTATTCACTGAAAATCTACATTACTCCTGTCTTCAGTGTCACATAATCCTTTAGAAATCATTCTAATATGCTGATTAGCTGTTTTGATCCTTGCTGAATAACATGAATAAAATTTATTTATTTAAAAAAAAAGATTTTACAGCTATTTTAAAAACTTTTGTTTTGAATTGAAAGTTTCTTAATTTATTATTCAAATTTATCAATGTAGAACAGCTTAAATTTCTAGACTTTTTCTCAGACAAATCTTTTAAATAGCTTTAGAAGACCTGGAATGTAACACATAAGTCATATGGACTCATTTGATGATGATTTTGTCATTTTTGGAGCTTGACCGTCCCTAGACACCATTTAGTTTTTTTTTAATGGAATAGAGCAGCACCAACATTCTGCTAAACATCTTTTTTAATCTCAAAGTATTCAAGGACAATATCAAAATTGTCAAAATTCTATGTAAAGCGCTTTGAGTGCCCAGAAAAGCGCTATATAAATTTAAGAAGTTAGTTATCAAAAGTTTTTTTTTAAAGAAAGTGAAATGAGTTTGCAATGACTTGAAGTTGAGTATATGATGACAGAAATTTCCTTTTTAATGTCTGCTCTTAGTTCAGCTATGAATTTAGTCTTCAAATGCGATTTATTACAGTGACATTTTTAAAATCTGATACCAGGTCAGTTTGTAAGACTCACCTGGTAGTGGTGAAGAGCCCATAGATGAGGGGGTTCTTTTTGTCTTTTCCACGCTGAATGAAAATATCCTCTACAGAAAAACAGAAAACAGGTTTAGAATATTAAGCATGCTTTGTATGTGCTTCAGTCAATGCAAATGAGAAAGAGTGAGTGTGTGTGGTCTCTAAATTCCTCTCAAGGCTATATAAACTCATAAAAAGAATATTTACCTGGTCACACTCTCTTTCTCATACAAACAAACATGTGTAATGCAACATTTTTGTGGTTTCATTTCTGTTCAAAAACACTCACACACACACACACACACCTATATCTTCACAATAAACTTGTGCTGTTGGGGGTATGCTAGTTCATTTCTGCATTCTCGCATTCCAGCCATGTCAGATATGATCAAACACCTTATCAAATCAAATCAAACACACACACACACACACGCACACACACACACACACATTAAGATGGTGGTTCTCAACTGGTTTTGCTTCAGGACCCAAATTTTACATTGGCCAAAAATAGTTTAATAGTTTTTTAAACTATTAAAGTAAACAAAAATGTAAATGACCATCAACTTCACAGGCCAAACAATATGCAAGAGTGGGGTCAGTAAGACTGCTTTTTTAAAGAAATTGATGTATGTATTTACCAAGGACACATTAAATTCATCAAAAGTGACAGTAAAGAATTTTAAATTGTTAGAAAAAAATTATATTTCAAATAAACACTGTTCTTTTAAACTTTCTATTTATAAAAGAATCCTAAAATGTGTTACCGTTTTGACAAAAATATTAAACAGCACAACTGGTTTCAACATTGATAATAAGGAATGTTACTTGAGCACCAAAACAGCATATTAGATTGATTACTGAAAGATCTTGTACTGTAATTTCGTTCAAATAAATGCAGCTTTGGTGAGCATAGGAGAATGTTTTTTTAAAACATTAAAATTTCTTAGCGCGTTTGATCAAACACACAGCCCTTGACAACAATAAAAGATATGGGGCACAACCCACTAGTTGGAAACGCAGTGTTAAACATTCACACTACCACGGACACGCTTTTGAAACCTGAGATAGATTTACTGACTCTCGTAAACTGTTAAAAACTGAGAACATAAACTAGATCAGTACTATAAAATGGTTGAAACCTTTATTACACACCGCTCTGGGCTATGACCGCACACATAAACACAGACGCTCCGTTTTCCCCTCATATTTTACACACAAACCAAAAGAATCCCTTTAATTAAGCATTCACACTCCCTCTTTCCCTCTCAATCCCATTACTATCCCTTATTTCTCTTCAACCCCTCCTCCCTCTCTTTCAAATTGTTTTCACTACCCCCCATTCCCTGGCTCTTCTTCTCTTTCACTTTTGCAGGGATGCTATAGTTGTGTCAATTTCATCCAACAAAAGCTTTTGTTCTCCTTGAGGGCAGATAGTTTTGTCTGCCCTGCACTTGTTGACACTTCTCTATCCTGCCCCTATCCGTCCTTATCCCTCCTAACCTCTGACTCTCCTGCTCTCTGCTCTCCTCCCTCATCCTCATCCTGAGGTAGCCAGTAGATTCTGTGGAAACAGGATGGGGGTGCCACCGTAGACGTGAAAATGCACACACACAGATACTGGCGGCCTTCAAAACATTCAGCAGACCACCAAGACAAATGGCACATGCACTTGTGCACTCATTTTAAGAAATATTTATCAACATATGGTTCAAAAATGTAAAATATTCAGGGTGAACTCAAGAAAATTAGGTCACTTTGTGACAAAACCTCTGTATATAACCATAAGGAATAATTTCCTAAAGTACTCATTAGGTGTTAATTAGTGTTTTCTATTAATCTATGTTGAAATATATAACATTAAACTGTTTAGAGCCAATATGTATTTAAATATCAATCGTCCCTCTCTCTATCAAAAGCACATTAGAACGATTTCTGAAGGGTCATGTGAGACTAGCTATGTTTCCATCCAAAGATTCGAATTTAACTTATGCACAAAACTGGAATATCACATAAAACATTTGCAAATAAAGCACCGTTTCCATCCAACGAGTCAAAGAGAACAAAATCGTCACTTCCTGATAAACTGGCACTATATATCACTAAGAAAAGTAGGAGAAGCCACTTAATATAATAATTTTCATATATGATGAATTACTTGCGCCTCAGAGCAAGCAGATGAAACACAATTAATGCAGTCATTTTTTTTCGGAGGTGAATGCCTGTTGTTTGGGTCGTGTAATACAATTATACAAAAATACTTTGATGAAAGACTTGTTCAGAAAAACCAAAACAACATTTCAGATGCTGTGCAATGAGCTCGGTCCGCTGGTTAGTCATCCCATAGTTATCCCATCCCATCGTGCAGTCACATTACTTTTTTTTTATGCGCATGGTGAAATTTATTCGGTAAATGTGTTTCCATCATAGTTTATGTGCATTTTTTCTTATCTGATAAAAAGTTTTTCCTACTCAATTGTGTGCATATGTTTTTTATGCGAATTTTTAGAATTTATGTGCATCTTGGTGTTTCCATCCAGCGTTTTTTTAATGCGATATTCCAAAATGCACATAAAAATCGGTGGATGGAAACTTGATGACTGGAGTAATGACTGTTGAAAATTCAGCTTTCCCATCACAAGAATAATTACATTTAAAAAATATATACAAATAGAAAACAGTTACTTTAAATTGTGTTAATATTTCGCAATATTGCAGTTTTTACTATTTATTTATTTTTAATCAAAAATCTTACCAACCCCAAACTTTTGAACGGTACTGTACATTTACTCCCCAACACTGTGTACATGTATACACACACACACACACACACACACACACATGAACTCAAGGCTTTCAAAAATAATCCAGCTGAATTTCAGCTAATAAACATTCCAATTTACCATATTTAAAATCCAAAACATATCATACACTAATTCAGTTCAGCTTCAAAATCACAGCCACAGAAACTGGCAGCATCCCCTCCACACACACACACACACACACACACACACACACATAACACAGACATTATCTAAACGTATTTACACCAGACCGTGATGCATTCTGGAGCACCTTCAATCTTGCATACCAAAACACACGCCAGTCCATTTTTTCTTAAAGACCTAAGCTTCATCTGTTCCATATTTCACATTAACTTACAATTCTAACTCTACTCTTCCAACAACCTAGCATTTCTTAACTTGTATCTGACTCATTGTATCGTCAGTTTATGCATTTCTTTGTACAATCTATAAACTCGCTATTCCTGATTAACATTCACTGACTGCAGTGTGGTCTGGCCCATCATAACTATGGCAAGACGAGGGTCCCTGATGCAGGGGGAGATTATGGGAGATGTAGTGGTTTAGAGGCCATGGAGCACAATGTAAACAAGACAAAGAAGAGAATTCTTATAGATTACCACCATAGGGCAGCTAAGATGAGATGCATATTCACATTACAGCATGCTTACATTATATAATCATCAGAACATTTTTACGTCACAAGTAAACATTAAAGTGTTAACCAATCAGAACAAAGCAGATTTGGATGTTCTAAATACTTTGGTAGGCCAAGAAATAAACACATTTCACAAGTCCCTAACACTTGAACATAACTGGACATGCACACAGTTAAACAAATTACATAAACTCAGCTGTTTAAAGATTGCCAAGGCGCTGGACAATGAATAGTTCCTTTCAGAGCCGCTTGCAGATTTGATAAAGTAGCAACCAGATATGGAACCCATTCTTGATTTCAGATTATTGCTTGTTTTATATCATATTTGGGTGGAATAGTTTAGGGGACGTGCTATCTTCAGTGTAGTCATCACTGATAACTGAGATTTTTCATTTCAACATGTACTGTATGTGCTGTAACGTGTATATCTTATAGATACAGTATATGAGTATGAGACTACAGTAAAACTTCAGTCAGAATGAGGATTCAAGAATTGTTTATTCTATGAGAGGTCTTTGTTTACACAGACTGATTGATAAGAAACCGGTTTCTGTCCGAGTCTGTGTGTGGTGTGTGTGTGTGTGTGTGTGTGTGTGTATGTGAGTCTACTGATAAACTTTGTTCCATAAATCAGGGAAGTTTGGGCATAAGACACACACACACACAGTATCAACAGTACAAATTATATTCTAAAAAAATGTACAAGGTTATCTCAAAGCCTTATTTCATTTGAGACTGGCCAATCAGAGCACACCTCGCTTTTTCAGACCGATGAGCTTTGTAAAAATCGACACGTTTCAGAAAGGCGGGGCATAGAGGAGAAACAATAATGTACCGCATAAACCGCATAAACACATTTCATTACACCAAATACACCAAATACTGTTCTTTTTAGCAGCATCATATGACCCCTTTAAACTTTGATTAGGTAATCAAGTGGGAGTGAAATGTTTTTGCGTGTGTGTGTGGCATTTATCTGAAGGTGTCTATTACTCACGGAGTTTGTCAAAGTGTGTCTGTATGCCGTCGGGTCCTGGTACAGAGCAAACAATACGAGCTTTCTGAAAGGTGCTCCATTTATGAACCAAACTACGCTGACCACCAATATCATTCTGAAAAAGAGAGAAAGAGATATAAACACACTGATAGTACCATACTACCATACTACATACCACACTACAGTAATACCATGTTTTTTGCACATGTACCCTGTTACTACCATATTTTTTGGACATGCACCACAGTTATATCATGATTTTGAGATGTACCACGCTTTTTTGGACTTGTCCCTGCTAATACAGAGTTTTTTGGACATGTGCCCTGCTAATACCATATTTTTGGATATATATACTATGCTAATACCATGATTTTTAGACATGTACTATGTTAATACTGTGTTTTTGGGCATGTTCTTTGGTGTAAATGTAAATACCCTATTAAATAAATATGGTAATCATTATATTCATTGACATACACAAAGGTACCAAGGTATTACCATCTGATACCATCCCTTTACCATAGTACCACTACAGTACTTTTTGAAAGTTTATTAATAATTTTTTTGTGATATCAAAATGACACAAAATCCACCTGACAGAAATTTCAATAAAATAATATTTCATTTTATTTCTGCTTTGGATCTTCTGTTTGGAACACTTTTTATTTCACAAAAAATTAAATGTATTTTAATTACTTCAAGAAAATACTATATTGTTTTATTTCTGTTTAGATTTGTATGTAACACTTTTGCATTTTTATAAAAATTTAGTAAGTATATATTATATAATTCTGTTACTATTTCATATGAAAATGACAGAAATCCACCAGAGGAACAGTCAGAGACATATCACACAGCACATCCTATCAGATTCACAGAGGTGGTCATACAGGCCCAGGAGCCACACAAGTGCGCTTAGGCACGTAGGAACACACTATTAGATACCTTGCAGACGCGGGCGACTCTAGAGTAGAGGACCTTCCCAGCAGCCCCCTCTGCTTCCTGTGCGCGCTCAGTAAAGAACACGTAGACCTTATCATCCTCCTCATTATCACTCTCTGACATCGCTGCAACATGTACAAATTCAGCGCCTGGAGAGGGCGAGAGAGACAAAAAATACAGTTAACTAACACATACATCTGTTATTGTGTAAACAATATGGTAGCATTTTCTTTTGTTTAACTGATAGAGCACAGTGCTTCCTTAATTGCTGTCAACAATCTGGTGAGTGTATTTTTGTAAGTGTGAGTGTAAGTGTTAGTGCTAGCTCAGGTGTATGTGTGGTTGTACATGCACATATATCACCTTGCAGCCATGTAGAGTCGTATTGTTCAGTGCGAATCACATGTCGCTCCCCCAGACTCCGAATAAAAGCGGTATCATGACTTAGAAAGTCAGATGAGATGCCAGCGTACAGCTCTCCATCTGAACAAACATGCACAAAGATTTAGATTAGAATTACACTGGCATGTTCTCACACAAACAGATAAACTACACACAAACTATAAACATGCTGTCTTACCTATGATGGCAGTAGCTGTTCTCTGGTGAGGGTCATAAGGACATTTTCCCTTCCCTGATTCAGTGTCTTCATACTGCAGCATTTGTTCCTCGGCCTGAAATTCCCACTGCATTATTTACAGTTCAAATTGTTTATTTTTGCTTATCCAAATTAATCCTACTAAAACTTTTTTATTTTAATAAAAATATTTAATTACATTTTAATTATTTCAATAAAATATTGTTTTGATCTGTAAGAAACTTTTTTTAAAATTTTAATTAAAAATCGAAGTATACTTTAATTATTTTAATAAATAATATAAATTTTTTTTCTGTTTGGATATGTAACATCTTTAAGTTTAATTTAAATAATTAAGAATATTTTAATTATTTATATATATATTTTACTTTTATTTTAGATATGTATGAAAAACACTTTTTATTATGAATTGTTTTTATTTATTTTTATTAATTTAATAAATAATATTTAATTTATTAGCAATTTATTTATTAGCAATATAATTGCTCACAAAATTGTTTAATCTGTCTATTCTATCACCTGAGACATGCATACTACACTATATGCTACAATAGGAAGAGTTTATGTGCACGAGGTGCATGCTGGGAAATGTAGTCATTTACCCTGAGGAAGAGGTTGGTTGGGATGAAGGCACAGCGAGGGTTGAACGCTCCAGTCCCACAGGCGTAAAGATGTGTTTGGTTATACAGCTCTAACACACGCAGGAAGTTTGCACAGTCCGTCTGTGACATAAAAAGGAAACTATCACAGTGAGGATTGAATTGATTTTGTTTGTAATTAAACAGTTCAAGAACAGCTATCTAAAGAAGCTGCGTTTCATAAAATCATGTTTTACCTGCAGGCTTTTTCCAGCCATGATACAGTTCTGGATTCGATCTGGACTTGCAGGCCAGTATATCTGAAATACAGCACACACACACATACACAGAGAGATGTGAATCTAATCTGGTGCACAAGTGTGCATAAAAGTTCCTCTTAGTCATATTAAACGTTGATGCATATGGTGATTTCCTCATGTAGCATGTGAGGAATTACAGTTGAATGCCACCCTGGCATTGCTCAGATCAAATCATTATGAATACACACTAAGTTATGCAGACAAGCAGGGATGAGCTCACACACACACACACACACACTTACCCACACAAACTTTCACAAATACACTGTCAGGGGGGCCTTCATGCAACAAAAGTTTGTTTGAATCTGCTAGTAAAAGCTTTCTTGTTTGATACTACAGCATGTTTGGGTGAACTTAACTATCTCTCTAAAATTCTTGTTATTTACTACTCTCAACTTGCTTTTTTCCATATAATGAAAGTGAATGGTGACCAGGGACTGTCTAGCTCCAAAAATACCATAAAAGTAGTATAACATCAGTTCATTTGATTTATATATGATATATTCCAAGTCTTATCATAGTTTTGTGTAAAATACAAGCTGTTTATGGTGGTTTTATTGTGATTTTTTGATGTTCTGAGCCTGACAGCCCACACTTTCATTGTATGGAAAAGAGCAGCATTAACATTTTGTTAAACGTCTCCTTTTGTACTACACATAAAAAAGAGAGAACATAATGACAGAATTTCCCTTATTTAAGAATATGGGGAATATATGTGAGCCTGTGTGTTTGGGTGAGTACATACCTTGCGGGGGGTTTGAGTAATATCATCCAGGCTGGCGGACAGCAGATGGTCTTTCATACCGATGTAAAGACGACGACCATCTTCACCTGGCAACAGAGAGTTCAGATCCCCAGCAGGCACAGAGAGAGACATGAGCCTGCCGCTCCGCACCAACTCTAAGACAGAGAGACGGAGAGACAGAGAGAACGTGAACAGATTATTTCATACATTTCTGTTATGAGTAGACCCTCGCGGCTGAATTCTGCAAATATGCGGCATTGCTGTTTTCCATCACAAATCCTTTACTTCTGACAGGCCAATAAAGAAAATGCAATTCAGCTTTATTGTTTTTTATGGGAAAGGAAAAAAACAGAGAATGAGGGTTTCTTTCTGCCATGCAACAGAGGGTGAATTTCTGAAGAATATCCTGGTCAGTTTTTACAATATAATTACAATGAATGAGGCTGTCAAGATCTAAAATTACCATATCATAAAATGGTCTACAACTCATGTGCTATGAAGTTGTATGATAGCTTTATTTGAGGAACAGACTGAATTTTAAATTAGTATTCAGTGGAAATAACTGAAAACTCAATGGCTCAATGATCCAGTGCCATTAATTTTAGAAGCCCGCTGGAGGAGAAGAAATTTAGTGAATGATGACTTCAATTTTACCTCTCTTTCTTACACAAAGCTATCATATGACTTGGAATATAGTGCATCATTCAGATGCACTCTTTCACTTTTGCATCCTTTTTAAAACCTTAAAGCTCCAGAGGCAACCAGTATTGTTGAAAACATCTCCTCTGTGCTCCATGGAAGACATAAAGCCAAGCCACAGGTTTGAAACAACATGAGGATGAGTAAATGATGATAGAATGTTTATTTTTGTGGGTAAACTATTTCTTTAAATACATTTAAAGCTGTCCACCAGAGTAACATTGTATTCTGTACTTTTCCTAAACACATTGAACTAATATAAACTCATATGTGGACCAGGCAGTCTCACCTTTGGGCAGAATAACCTGTTCAAAAATATGAACAGCCGATGAGACAGACAGAGATAAAATAACGCATGAGATGAATAGAATAGACAAAAAGATTGAAAACATGCCTTGAGAATCATAGGAAATCAATTAATTACAGTGAAAGTGCAGCAGATAATATTGTAATACACCAAAAAAAACAGCCGCAAAAAAATGCAAATATTACATTGGTTGTTCTATAGGTTTGCGTATTTATCGCTCCTTTAAAATATTCTCTCACTCACCCACACACACTAAAAAATGTCAGTTGTCACGAGGGACATGCACACAATCTGTCACAGCCTGAAACCTCACACACGCATTCCTGGCTCTTTCTTAGTGGCACCATTGCCCCCTTTCTTGTGGGCAGTTGCTGTGGTAACAAGGGTGTGTATGTGTATGCTAAAATCACTCTGATGGATTACAGGCTGGTATTCCACCTGTCTCGAGTGTGTTTAGCAGGAAGTGAGGGAGATTTCATGACTAGGTGGTCTAGAACCTGGTAGCCCCAGACTGTAATCAGTTTGACTCATGACCTTTTTAGCCATAAACTAAATTAGACAAACAGTGAGACATTTTCTGTCTTACACACACACACACACACAGATGAACACAAAGTGAGTCACAAACCCTTCTGTCCATCATTCTATGACCAGCTGAGGGTATATTTAGCCACATACAGACCTAGTGCTGTATATTTAACCACACACAAGCTGTGAGTGTGTATCTGACCATTAGATTACCTCAGTCATGAGAGAGACTGATGTGGAATTACTCGATTAGTGTAAATATGTGGCGTGTGACACAGCTAAGAAACATTAGCTAACTTATACATAAACATGCACACGAGTGCAAGAGCGCACTAGCAACAACGTATAGGTTAAAAATGGTATAAATCGTGTTTTTCCGATTATTCGCAATCTTCATTTTATCGATCCCTAAGATCGATCTTGTACTTTATGCCTTTTTCAGTGTCTGTGTGATAGTGTACAGCACTTCCTGTCCTGTAGGTGTCAGCGAATGTTTTCTGAAAATAAATAAAATTTACTGTGAATGTGAGTTTCTGGCCTGTATTCAGTGTGATTTAAAAAAAAAACTGACAACGAAATCGCAGACTGCACGCAGAAACAGACAAGACGCAACTGGTGCAGTCCGATTCGTGAACAAATGACTCTTTCAAATCAGTTCTTTTCATGAATATTTACGAGGTACTGTTTGAATCGGTCTGAAACACTTGTTGTTAGCTAAAACTAAAACTGTTACAAATCGTTTTCGTTATTTGGAATAAAGCTTAAATAAAAACAAAATGTAAATATTAGATGAAAAACATTAAATTTGACATGTTGCCTTTATAACTAAAATACGTTTAAGTATTAAAATTGCTCAAATTAATACTGAAATCAATATGTTAAAGAAAACAAAAATATAAATAATAAAAACTAATAAAAACAACAAAAAATTGCTAAAAAAAAAACAAACAAAATGAAAATATCAATATTAAAACTAATTCAAAATATTAATAAATACTATAGTATATAGTTAATTCTAACATAACAAAGCATAAGCTGAAAGAGATTCTCAAAAGAGAAGTAACCAAATTGGACATTAAACTGAATTGAATAAAAATTGAATCAAGAGCTTATGTATTAATTGGAATTGAAACAAACTGAATTAAAATAGCCATCAAATGTAATGTGTAATGTGTAAAATGTCATTCAAAAACCTGTTCACAAGCACACACCTCTTCTACCACTAGTGTGGATGGGAGTATGTAAAGGTGTATTTTCTTGGGCACAACTTTTCCCATAGTGCTAGTCTACTGGCAGACAAGAACAAACAGTCCACACTTCCTGTGCAAATTGAGTTATTAGCTATTACTTCTCAATCCACCGGTTGGCATGTTCATAACTTCATATGTGTGTGGTAGAATGTTAACAGGTGCGACTATAAGTCTGTGACGGAAAAACACAAGGCTCATGCATAAACACACAGACAGCTCAAATAAACTGGTGAACACACACTGCTGTGTTCTGGAATTTCTCAACTCTCCATCAGACAGACCTATGACCTGGGCTGAATATGAGTATACATCATAATTATAGCACTCAAATGCACACAGACACACACACTTGGCGGAGGTTAGAGTGCATAATTGATTGATGCTCGTGTTAGTTATAATCACACCTACTGAAGGTCAGTCAACTGCAAAGTGACCAATCAAAACCGACCAGCTGGAAAATGCATTTTATAGATCTGCTGGACATATTATTGGATATCTAATTTCACTTGTATCCAGTGGCACAAAATTCTCTCAGTGTGTGTGTGTGTGTGTGTGTGTGTGTGTGTGTGTGTGTGTGTGTGTGTGCTACTCAAGAGCTGTCATTTATCATCTCATCAGGGAAATCAAGCCAAAATGAGCTGGATAATAATCAACCACCAGCCGTTCCCTTACACAAACACACACTTATGCTCTACCCTTTGGGAGTCTGCGTGAATGAAAGGCTAATTGGGTAATTAAGAGATCCAAGTAAACACAACACACACATTCATGCAGATGTACACGGATTAATTAAGATATGTACCCCTAAAACTTTCTAAACACAAACATTTCACACACACACACTCTCTCTATGTTCTCTCACATTCACTCTCAGTCGTCCCTGATATGCAGAATGGTGTGACGGACCAACGAATGTATCTGTGCAGGGTTTTCTAGGTCATGGAGAAACACACAACCAGTTTCAGTCTACACACATGATATATCCCTTTCGAACCACGGCTGATTACAATTGGGTTAAAAAGAGAGAAAGCTGTGTATATCTTTTTTTAAGAATAAGACAGCTGCTGAATGTGACTCTCTCTTAGGATTCATTTGCTCAATGGCTGTTGAAATCTCATGTTGGTTTTCTCTCTTTTCATCTCTCATCCTCACTGTCTTGTTTATGCGCACACACACTCAACACACTCCACTTAAATCTAACAGCATCAGAATTAATGGTAGCTTAATCAGGTCACATAAACAATTAACAAAAAGATCAAAAGAATAAGAAAATGAGAATGAAAACCCCCATTGCCCCTGACAGACTTCACAGCACACTCAACTCTGAAGGATAATAGTTCTTTACAACATGAAAATATCACTGAGCTCATCAGAGATGCAACTGTGTGGGTTTGGCGCCCTCTAGCGACTAAACGAGGATTATTGTTTAATACTACCCTCATTACAAGAAGTAAAATTAAGAAAATTCTCAAATAAGTCGCCACAGTTCACTTTAACCCTGTACAAATTACACCGAGGGGGCTTGTATTATCCTGCAGGGGTTTGACTGGCCAACTGTACTTTATTCCGCTTATTTCACGGCTACATACTTAATAAATAAATGGACATGACATATTGATTTCAGTTGAAATTGTTATCCTACTTGCATATTAACGTGCATACGAATAGGGCAAAATCACACAAATAGAGCAACAACATTACAATATTAACTGCTTTATATAATTTTATATAAGCCTATTCATCTGCATCCAGGTACATTTTTCTATGGATAGCTAGCTATTAGCTACCAATAACAACCGTCAAATTTAAATTCCCTCTTATCCGTGTTTCTTTAGCCTACCTGTTTCTTGTTCTTCTGAGAGATGTTTTCTTTCTTTTCTTCCCGAGCTTCCGTCCATGCTGAATGATTACCATTCATTTACTATGGAAGTATTGCGAAGTCCAAAAGATTATGGAATAGTTTTGTGTTTATGGAAGAGATTAGTGTAAGAATTCAGGAAAAGGGCGAGCGTCACTATAGTACATACAGCTGGATTGAGCAGTAGGCCTATCTATAATTTAAATGAGAATACCATTAAATATGCAGTACAAACTAATATACTTAATTTAACATCAAAGGTTACTAGCATTCTACAGCTAAGCTTAATACTACAGTTCAATATCGATTATAGAGTGGAAATTAGAAGTAGAATGATGACTGTTATGATGACTGGCCACCAGGTGTCGGTGTTGTATAAATCTAGTTTTTGTGATTTAAAAACAGTTGAACAGTTGAAGTTAAAACAGTTGAACATTTAAAAAGTTTATATTTTTAGTTACTTTTTTTTGGGCGGGGGTTACAGTACTGGTGTTGTACACAATATACAGTATAATGTAATCACACAAACAAACAATAAATGGCCTACATAAATACATAGTAGGTAGAAAGGATCTTTTCGTGTCTCAGTGGGACATCGGTCCATGAAAAGTCTAGAAGTAAAGAGGCTCTTAATATATTGGATGTGATGATGTATTGTACTGCATTGGATGTGAAGGGTTATTCATGATGTTTAAAGGGGTCATATGATGGGGGCGTGTTAGAACGAGCCGTTTTAGGTAGGGGTGGTTGACTCTTAATAACTTAACTTTTATAAAGAATATCTCTTTGGATTTGAGACTTTAGTCTTTGCAACTTTACAGATCTTTATGCACCAAGAGCTTGTAACACTCCAAAGAGAAAGGAAAAATTTGAAGAGTTTGAACAGCATATTCCTCTTGGTCACCAGCTTCAGCCAGTTCAGTTTAGTCCCCAGGACAGAGCCTGCCTTCCTCAGCATTTTCTCTACCCTGCTATTTGCATCTTCCCCTTTAAAGTCGGCATGAAACGGAAGTAGCTATTGTCTTTTTTTCGCTACTGTTACGTCTATCTGAGTGAAACGGCATCTGAAATGAGAGGGCGGGACTTGATTTCGTCCTTCGGGAATTGATTGGATCATTGGAAGTTGGGGCGTTGCTAACAAAATAAAGCAGATCTGAATGCCAGTTTGCAGTTAGTTGTGGGGGGATTTCTTTCCACTGGATTCACCCAATAGTATCCAGCTGCAGCCCCGCAGACCCACACATTTCAGGCCACACGATCCAGACCACCAGATCTAGGCCGGAAGTGGTCTACTGCAAGTTAAAATTGTTGTAATCTTTTATTGTTTTCAGTATTTTTATGTTGACAGTTCGATTACGTTTTAGATTGGGTGTTGTAAATGGGCTTTGTGATGAAGCCACTGTTTTGAATTTGTTATTTATTATACAGAGACCCATTATTTAAGTTAAGTTTTTACTCACTGAAGACATGGAGACTTTTTTGATTAAGTGTAATGAAAACAGGGGACCAAAATGAACTCTTCTTGTCATGAGTGATAATAATAATAATAATAATTTCAAAAGTTGATAATTATTTGCTGTTTATTATTTCTATTCTGCAATTATACATATTTAAGTTTTAAATGATAATTTCAGTTTAATTTTTTTGTTGAAATGCTTTTTATTTGAGAAGAACATGGCACTTTTTAATGTTTATTTTAAATTTTAAAATAAAAATAAGTATATTTGGCATTAAATGTCCATTCTCTGTGTTCTTAAGCAGCAATGCACAGTTAGAATCACATCATCAAGTTCGCCGATGACACGACAGTGGTGGGTCTCATCAGTAAGTATGACATGTCAGCATACAGAGAGGAAGTGCAAATGTTAACAGACTGGTGCAAAACCAACAATCTGTCTCTGATTGTGGACAAAACAAAAGAGATGGCTGTGGATTTCAGGAAGACACAGTGCAATCACTCCCTGCTGAACATCAAAAGCTCCTTGGTGGAGATCGTCAAGAACACCAAATTCCTTGGTGTTCACCTGGCGGTGATATAGTATGGAGCGAAATAATGAGTCGGGGAACAACTCTGCTTTGCGGGAACTTTACTGAACAAAGTTTATGAGAAAACAAATGACGATAAAATGGTTAACAAAACACAGACGGCTGGCAGCAGCCCAACGATCCCAGCATACTTCTCCCTTCCTCGTCTCTCACGCTGCTGCTCATGGGAAATGTAGTTCATTTGAATATATTGTGAAGGTTAACAACAATCACAAACATTAAAGCAATCAAATTCTTATAACTTATATTTATTATTATTCAGTGTTAATTAACTGCAACTAATAAATTGCAACATCCTCCCCCCCCCCGATGAACCACAATT